ATTTCTCATTAAATGTTCCCATTGTCTCCTATACTTTCTGTATTTTTTTTTTAATCTTCACCCAAGGATAATTTTCCCATTGATTTTTAGGGAGAGAGGAAGAGAGAGGGAAAGACAGAGAGAAGCATCGATGTGAGAGAAACACATCAATTGGTTGCCTCCTGCATGAACCACAACCAGGGCCCAGGCTGGGGAGGAGCCTGCAACCAAGGTACGTGTCCTTGACTGGAATTGAACCCAGGACCCTTTGATCTGCAGGCCGACACTCTATCCACTGAGCCAAAGCGGCTAGGGCTACTTTCTGTATTTTTAGCTTTGAGACTCTTACCCTATTTATAATTACTGTCTTTCCCTCTAGACCAGTGGTTCTCAACCTTGGCTGCACATTAGAATCACCTGGGAATCTTTTTAAAATCCTGATTTCTTGGCCTCATCCTCCGGAAATTCTGTTTCTTTGTTATGGGGTGGGGTCACAACATTAGTAACAAAGAAACAGAATTTCCAGAGGATGAGGCCCAAAAATCAGGATTTTAAAAAGATTCCCAGGTGATTCTAATGTGCAGCCAAGGTTGAGAACCACTGCTCTAGACCCTTACATCTGCCCTTTTCTCTGCATTCCCAGGGCTAGTCTCAGTATTAGCCACATACATATAGATTTTCAATAAGTATATGGTGAGTGGATTAATAATTAGTCAATGAATATCGAGACTGGATCTACAGAGAGTCGTGTGTGAAGGCACCAGCTGAAGTAGCCCAGATCCTCTACTCAGATTTGATCCTGTCCTCTCTTTTCTGTCCCTTTACCATCCTGAACTGAGTTTGGTGAGTCTGGGTGGGGGACGAAGAGGCATGGCCTGCCTTGCTCAAGCCTGGAGGATAAAAAGAGCTTTGTCTAAAAAGGATCCTATTTGCCCCACATTAAAAGCGGGACTCTTGCCCAGCAGTGTAGCTCAAAGGTTGAGCATCAACCTATGAACAGGAGGTTGCAATTCGACTCCCAGTCAGGGCATATGCCCAGGTTTCAGGCTTGATCCCCAGTGTCAGGCTGGCAGGAGGCGGCTGATCGATGTTTCACTCTCATCAATGTTTCTATCTCCCTCTCCCTTCCTCTCTGGAATCAATTAA